GCGGAGTTCTAAAAGGCGGAGCGGAGTTCCAAGAGGTGGAGCGGAGTTCCAAGAGGCGGAGCGGAGTTCTAAAAGGAGGATCGGAGTTCCAAGAGGCGGAGCGGAGTTCTAAAAGGCGGAGCGGAGTTCCTAGAGGCGGAGTGGAGTTCTAAAATGAGGAGCGGAGTTCTAAAAGGCGGAGCGGAGTTCCTAGAGGTGGAGCGGAGTTCTAAAATGAGGAGCGGAGTTCTAAAAGGAGGAGCGGAGTTCTAAAAGGCGGAGCGGAGTTCCTAGAGGCGGAGTGGAGTTCTAAAAGGTGGAGCAGAGTTCTAAAAGGAGGAGCGGAGTTCTAAAAGGCGGAGCGGAGTTCTAAAAGGCGGAGCGGAGTTCCAAGAGGCGGAGCGGAGTTCTAAAAGGCGGAGCGGAGTTCCAAGAGGCGGAGCGGAGTTCTAAAAGGAGGAGCGGAGTTCTAAAAGGAGGAGCGGAGTTCCAAGAGGCGGAGCGGAGTTCTAAAAGGCGGAGCGGAGTTCCAAGAGGTGGAGCGGAGTTCCAAGAGGCGGAGCGGAGTTCTAAAAGGCGGAGCGGAGTTCCAAGAGGCGGAGCGGAGTTCTAAAAGGCGGAGCGGAGTTCCAAGAGGTGGAGCGGAGTTCCAAGAGGCGGAGCGGAGTTCCAAGAGGCGGAGCGGAGTTCTAAAAGGAGGAGCGGAGTTCCAAGAGGCGGAGCGGAGTTCTAAAAGGAGGAGCGGAGTTCTAAAAGGAGGAGCGGAGTTCTAAAAGGAGGAGCGGAGTTCTAAAAGGAGGAGCGGAGTTCTAAAAGGAGGAGCGGAGTTCTAAAAGGTGGAGCGGAGTTCTAAAAGGAGGAGCGGAGTTCTAAAAGGAGGAGCGGAGTTCCTAGAGGCGGAGCGGAGTTCTAAAAGGTGGAGCGGAGTTCTAAAAGGCGGAGCGGAGTTCTAAAAGGAGGAGCGGAGTTCTAAAAGGAGGAGCGGAGTTCTAAAAGGTGGAGCGGAGATCTAAAAGGTGGAGCGGAGTTCTAAAAGGCGGAGCGGAGTTCCAAGAGGCGGAGCGGAGTTCCAAGAGGCGGAGCGGAGTTCCTAGAGGCGGAGTGGAGTTCTAAAAGGCGGAGCGGAGTTCCTAGAGGCGGAGCGGAGTTCTAAAAGGCGGAGCGGAGTTCCTAGAGGCGGAGTGGAGTTCTAAAAGGCGGAGCGGAGTTCTAAAAGGCGGAGCGGAGTTCTAAAAGGAGGAGCGGAGTTCTAAAAGGAGGAGCGGAGTTCCAAGAGGCGGAGCGGAGTTCCAAGAGGCGGAGCGGAGTTCTAAAAGGCGGAGCGGAGTTCTAAAAGGAGGAGCGGAGTTCTAAAAGGCGGAGCGGAGTTCTAAAAGGCGGAGCGGAGTTCTAAAAGGAGGAGCGGAGTTCTAAAAGGCGGAGCGGAGTTCCAAGAGGCGGAGCGGAGTTCTAAAAGGTGGAGCGGAGTTCTAAAAGGCGGAGCGGAGTTCTAAAAGGAGGAGCGGAGTTCTAAAAGGAGGAGCGGAGTTCTAAAAGGCGGAGCGGAGTTCTAAAAGGCGGAGCGGAGTTCCAAGAGGCGGAGCGGAGTTCCAAGAGGCGGAGCGGAGTTCCTAGAGGCGGAGTGGAGTTCTAAAAGGCGGAGCGGAGTTCCTAGAGGCGGAGCGGAGTTCTAAAAGGCGGAGCGGAGTTCCTAGAGGCGGAGTGGAGTTCTAAAAGGCGGAGCGGAGTTCCTAGAGGCGGAGCGGAGTTCTAAAAGGCGGAGCGGAGTTCCTAGAGGCGGAGTGGAGTTCTAAAAGGCGGAGCGGAGTTCCTAGAGGCGGAGCGGAGTTCTAAAAGGCGGAGCGGAGTTCCTAGAGGCGGAGTGGAGTTCTAAAAGGCGGAGCGGAGTTCCTAGAGGCGGAGCGGAGTTCTAAAAGGCGGAGCGGAGTTCCTAGAGGCGGAGTGGAGTTCTAAAAGGCGGAGCGGAGTTCTAAAAGGCGGAGCGGAGTTCTAAAAGGAGGAGCGGAGTTCTAAAAGGAGGAGCGGAGTTCTAAAAGGAGGAGCGGAGTTCCAAGAGGCGGAGCGGAGTTCCAAGAGGCGGAGCGGAATTCTAAAAGGCGGAGCGGAGTTCTAAAAGGCGGGGCGGAGTTCCAAGAGGCGGAGCGGAATTCTAAAAGGAGGAGCGGAGTTCTAAAAGGAGGAGCGGAGTTCTAAAAGGCGGAGCGGAGTTCTAAAAGGTGGAGCGGAGTTCTAAAAGGTGGAGCGGAGTTCCTAGAGGCGGAGCGGAGTTCTAAAAGGTGGAGCGGAGTTCTAAAAGGCGGAGCGGAGTTCCAAGAGGCGGAGCGGAGTTCTAAAAGGCGGAGCGGAGTTCTAAGAGGAGGAGCGGAGTTCTAAGAGGAGGGGCGGAGGTCCAAGAGGCGGAGCGGAGTTCTAAAAGGAGGAGAGGAGTTCCAAGAGGCGGAGCGGAGTTCTAAAAGGAGGAGCGGAGTTCTAAAAGGAGGAGCGGAGTTCTAAAAGGAGGAGCGGAGTTCTAAAAGGTGGAGCGGAGTTCTAAAAGGTGGAGCGGAGTTCTAAAAGGCGGAGCGGAGTTCTAAAAGGAGGAGCGGAGTTCCAAGAGGCGGAGCGGAGTTCTAAAAGGTGGAGCGGAGTTCTAAAAGGCGGAGCGGAGTTCTAAAAGGAGGAGCGGAGTTCTAAAAGGAGGAGCGGAGTTCTAAAAGGTGGAGCGGAGTTCTAAAAGGTGGAGCGGAGTTCTAAAAGGCGGAGCGGAGTTCTAAAAGGCGGAGCGGAGTTCCAAGAGGCGGAGCGGAGTTCCAAGAGGCGGAGCGGAGTTCTAAAAGGCGGAGCGGAGTTCTAAAAGGAGGAGCGGAGTTCTAAAAGGTGGAGCGGAGTTCTAAAAGGCGGAGCGGAGTTCTAAAAGGTGGAGCGGAGTTCTAAAAGGAGGAGCGGAGTTCCAAGAGGCGGAGCGGAGTTCTAAAAGGAGGAGCGGAGTTCTAAAAGGCGGAGCGGAGTTCTAAAAGGAGGAGCGGAGTTCTAAAAGGAGGAGCGGAGTTCTAAAAGGCGGAGCGGAGTTCTAAAAGGCGGAGCGGAGTTCCAAGAGGCGGAGCGGAGTTCCAAGAGGCGGAGCGGAGTTCCTAGAGGCGGAGTGGAGTTCTAAAAGGCGGAGCGGAGTTCCTAGAGGCGGAGCGGAGTTCTAAAAGGCGGAGCGGAGTTCCTAGAGGCGGAGTGGAGTTCTAAAAGGCGGAGCGGAGTTCCTAGAGGCGGAGCGGAGTTCTAAAAGGCGGAGCGGAGTTCCTAGAGGCGGAGTGGAGTTCTAAAAGGCGGAGCGGAGTTCCTAGAGGCGGAGCGGAGTTCTAAAAGGCGGAGCGGAGTTCCTAGAGGCGGAGTGGAGTTCTAAAAGGCGGAGCGGAGTTCCTAGAGGCGGAGCGGAGTTCTAAAAGGCGGAGCGGAGTTCCTAGAGGCGGAGTGGAGTTCTAAAAGGCGGAGCGGAGTTCTAAAAGGCGGAGCGGAGTTCTAAAAGGAGGAGCGGAGTTCTAAAAGGAGGAGCGGAGTTCTAAAAGGAGGAGCGGAGTTCCAAGAGGCGGAGCGGAGTTCCAAGAGGCGGAGCGGAATTCTAAAAGGCGGAGTTGAGTTCTAAAAGGCGGAGCGGAGTTCCAAGAGGCGGAGCGGAATTCTAAAAGGCGGAGCGGAGTTCTAAAAGGAGGAGCGGAGTTCTAAAAGGCGGAGCGGAGTTCCAAGAGGCGGAGCGGAGTTCTAAAAGGTGGAGCGGAGTTCCAAGAGGCGGAGCGGAGTTCTAAAAGGAGGAGCGGAGTTCTAAAAGGCGGAGCGGAGTTCCAAGAGGCGGAGCGGAGTTCTAAAAGGCGGAGCGGAGTTCCAAGAGGTGGAGCGGAGTTCCAAGAGGCGGAGCGGAGTTCCAAGAGGCGGAGCGGAGTTCTAAAAGGAGGAGAGGAGTTCCAAGAGGCGGAGCGGAGTTCTAAAAGGAGGAGCGGAGTTCTAAAAGGAGGAGCGGAGTTCTAAAAGGAGGAGCGGAGTTCTAAAAGGTGGAGCGGAGTTCTAAAAGGTGGAGCGGAGTTCTAAAAGGCGGAGCGGAGTTCTAAAAGGAGGAGCGGAGTTCCAAGAGGCGGAGCGGAGTTCTAAAAGGTGGAGCGGAGTTCTAAAAGGCGGAGCGGAGTTCTAAAAGGAGGAGCGGAGTTCTAAAAGGAGGAGCGGAGTTCTAAAAGGTGGAGCGGAGTTCTAAAAGGTGGAGCGGAGTTCTAAAAGGCGGAGCGGAGTTCTAAAAGGCGGAGCGGAGTTCCAAGAGGCGGAGCGGAGTTCCAAGAGGCGGAGCGGAGTTCTAAAAGGGGGAGCGGAGTTCCTAGAGGCGGAGCGGAGTTCTAAAAGGAGGAGCGGAGTTCTAAAAGGGAGGAGCGGAGTTCTAAAAGGAGGAGCGGAGTTCTAAAAGGAGGAGCGGAGTTCTAAAAGGAGGAGCGGAGTTCCAAGAGGCGGAGCGGAGTTCCAAGAGGCGGAGCGGAGTTCTAAAAGGCGGAGCGGAGTTCCAAGAGCGGAGCGGAATTCTAAAAGGCGGAGCGGAGTTCTAAAGGCGGAGCGGAGTTCCAAGAGGGGAGCGGAGTTCCAAGAGGTGGAGCGGAGTTCTAAGAGGCGGAGCGGAGTTCTAAAAGGCGGAGCGGAGTTCAAAGGCGGAGCGGGAGTTTAAAAAGGGAGCGGAGTTCTAAAAAGCGGAGTTCTAAAAGCGGAGCGGAGTTCCAAGAGGCGGAGCGGAGTTCTAAAAGGAGGAGCGGAGTTCTAAAAGGCGGAGCGGAGTTCTAAAGGCGGAGCGGAGTTCGAAGAGGCGGAGCGGAATTCTAAAAGGCGGAGCGGAGTTCTAAAAGGCGGAGCGGAGTTCCAAGAGGCGGAGCGGAATTCTAAAAGGCGGAGCGGAGTTCTAAAAGGCGGAGCGGAGTTCCAAGAGGCGGAGCGGAGTTCTAAAAGGAGGAGCGGAATTCTAAAAGGCGGAGTGGAATTCCTAGAGGCGGAGCGGAGTTCCAAGAGGCGGAGTGGCTTCTCACCCAGGATCAGTTTCCCAACAGATGAGATGCTCTCCACGTCAGACTTCTGCAGCTCCTCGTCATCCTGAGAGTCTCTCCTCACCTGGAGCTGCAAGCAGAACCTTCCTCAGGTTATAGACGCATCACAAGGTCCAGAAACAGACAAAACCAAACAGAACCAAACAGAACCGACCTCCTGTGGACTTCCTGCTTGGCCAGCGGACCACAACGTCCAGTCCTCCCAGGATGAAGCAGGCTTCCTGGGCAGCGGGCTCTTCTCCTCTTCATCCTCCTCTTCATCCTCCTCTTCATCCACAGCCATCTCCAGGCCCTCTTCCGCTGGCAGGAGGTCAGAGGTCAGAGAGGAGGCGTAGCGAGGCAGACCTCCGTCCAGGATCAGTTCCGGTTCCTCCTGGCAGGAATAATCTGGAAGCTCCGACTTTTCACTGGGACCCTGAAAAAAAATCAATCAGTCGTTAGAGATCGAACTGGACCTGCTGGGCGGTTCTGGTCCCGATCCATCAGAACTAACAGAACCAGAGCATCCTCCTAGCAGCCAGACACAGTGGAGGTGGTTTGACATGGAACCAAGATGTTCCGGTCCAGCAGAACCTCGTGAAGGAGAAGATCCAGCCATCAGAACCGGGCCTGGAGCCGGTTCTGATGGCTCCAGGACCAGCCGAACCATGACCCAGTCCACCAGCATGTCCCCCTATGATAGGCTCAAACAGGTGGCCTAGTCAAAGGGTCCTGATCGTTCCTCCAGGTGGTCAGGTCGGGAGAGCAGAGAGGGTCAAAGGTCATCTACAGGTATGTCAGCACCAGTTGGAGGCTGGTTCTGAAAACGGAACCATCAGAACTTTTGATCCTGAACCATTCTCCATCATCTTCTGTTTAATGTGGTAGATTTAAACGGGTCAGAACCGTAGAACCCGGTCACGGAGTGAATACTTTTCACAGCTCTGAGTAGAACAGCAGAGGGAAGCTCTGGCTCTGAGGGAGTGTGAGGACAGAGAAAGTTCTGCTGAACTCCCCTGGTCATCAGGACTTGGCGCTGAGCCCGGTCCGGCCCAGAGCGCCTCCTCAGCACATCCTGAGGGATTCTCCTGCTCCCTCCAGGAAATATTAATGGCAACACTTAGGCTAATTCCCTGCCGCCTCGTCCTCAAGGACTCTGCCGCCTCATTTGGACCGGGGAAGCGGGCCCGGCCCGGGAAGCGGGCCCAGTCCTGCCGTAATGGAGGTGAGGAGCAGACGGCGGCTAGCGCTCTGCAGACTGATGACTGCTGGCCTCACATCCTGAAGATTTAAAGATGCTGCGTTTAATATCCTCCCATTAGACAATGAGATGACGACGAGCCGGCCCGGCCCGGTTACAGCCAGGAGGGAGACGGTGGACACACTCAGAGGGTCCTGCAGAGGTCGGGATGATTTAAACTGACTCATGTAGGTGCTGGAGAACGGGTCCAATCAGAACCGCTGGGGGTCCCAGTGTTTCCAGGACGGTCCAGGAAAGCGGTTCTGCTCCAGCTGAACTTCATCTGAACCCTGGAACTGATCCAGAACCGATCAGACTCTGTCCTGGCTCCGCACCCCCCCATCCCCCCCACAGAGTAATCAGATTACTGCCGCAGCGTTTGCTGGTGCAGGCTCCGCCCCCTGCTGCGACCTCCAGGAGTTAACGAGGCGCGGCGGCGGAGCGGGGTCCCTCTCTGGTCAGCCTGACACAACGATCCACAGAGACGGGTCGGAACCAACCAGCAGAACTTTATGGAGACATCAGGGAGCCGTGAGCCGTGAAACGACTTCAGCTCAGTGAGACGCATGTAAAACAGGAAGTGAAGAGGAAGAGGAGGAAGATGCCTTCCAGGGACCAGAGCAGGTCAGGGTTCTAGTTCTGGTGTTCAGATCAACTTTTCTACATAAAATAACTGGATAAAATGTTGATTTGCTCCATTAATAATCTGTGATTTTAAATATATGAACGAGGCCAGAACCAGAACCTGGGTCTCTGAAACGTGTGTCTCTGTGTTTTTATGTCACTGTAGATAATCAATAATCAAACACGTGGATCAGTGGTCCAGTCAAAGTCTCCTTCGCTGAAAACAGCCAATTGGAGAGAGGAGGAGGGTCTTAGTGCTGTCAATAACACTTGTGCGCTCTGCTAGGCTACATCTTCTCCCCCTTAGCAGAGCCTGCCCTGAATGCTAAGCTCGTTAGCATCGCCAGTGGTGATGCTGTATAAACGGTTTTTCTGTAACAGGAAGTTGTTTCTTCTCAATTAGCACATTTAGCATACATGAGAGTGATTGACAGCACTAAGTCCCGCCTCTTGGCTCTGTTTTGGTGCCTTTCTTCAAATGGCATCTCAGGGTTTCGGCCGGTAAGCAGTTTTCTGGAAGTTTGTTCCAGATCTAGGTGCAAAGAAGCCAAATGAGGTTCTGGTTCTGAATGGAGAGCAGAACCTGGACCAGGACCAGAGCGGTTGCTCCATTAGTATTTTAAAGTCGATCATCCCAGTGAAGGTCCTGTCCACCCCCTGCTGGAAGAACGCGGCTACTACAGTGTTTCTGATTATCAAACCCTAGAGAAGCATTTTGATTTTACTTAGTGAAAAATGTTGCTGCCAACCATCCAGAGGCTCTGAGGTCAACGTGTCCCCAGTCCGGCTGTGGCTGGGAAACTGCTCCCCCTCCAGGCGGATGTGGTTCTGCCAGCAGGTCATTACTGTTATTTGCTTTGTGCATCAGGAGGCGAGATGGAGCAGAGGGAAGCAGAGCAGCAGCAGCACTGCAGTAACAGAGTACTGCAGGACTCTATGTACTGACACGGGGGGCTGCATGTCCTCACAGCAACCCCCCGTCCTCCTCCCTCCGGCCGCCTCACTTAAAGAAAGATGCTGCGGGTTGAGCTGATGGAGCACTTTATAGCATCGAGCCATGGCGCTGAGTCAGCAGAGGGAGAGGAAGGTGAAAGAGAGGAGAAGATGGAGGGGGGAGGAAGAGGATGATGAAGTGAAGGGAAGCAGGACGACAGTCAGAACAAAGCGAGCTCTCAGAGTGATTACTGATGCTTCAGCTGCTGCACTCTGGACTGGGAGAGACACTTTCCAGTCTGAGATCCACTGGAACACCCCACTGGGAACTGGGAGCAACCAGCAAACCCCCAGTCAGGACTCCAGGCCGACTTCCTGTTCCAAAATGGCGGCAGCAGGAGGCGGCGGCGGTGAAACATGTCGGTCTGACACGAGACGCCTGTTAGAACAATCCTGCAGCGCCTCATTATGGAAACTAAAGGTTAAAATTACAACTGAAACAAATATTATTTTGATTAATGGAATTTAAAAAATTGGGTGATTCTGCAGATTTTTCCCCGTCATAAATATTTAAATAATTCACTTAGTCTTCAGAAGAAAGAAATGAACATTTTATTGGCTGAAAAGCAGTAACATAATTAACTGAATAATAACTGGATGAAGAGCTGATCAATAGATTTTGCCACAATGTGAACCAGGTGAAGCTAAAACTGCCAACAGAGGAATTTGTTTTTGCTCCAACTCTGTGGAGTCTGTGTACTCCAGCTATCAATTCATTGATTGCTAAATTATTTGCAGATAATTTCAATAATGATTTCAGTTCTACTCGAATGATGTTTGTAAGCGGTACTGCGGGCCGTCTCCGATTCCTTTTAATGATTCCACCATGTCACCAAGGGAGGAAGCAGAATTTGAGGACTTTAACTGATATGGAATAACCAATCAGAAGATTTTAAAGTCATGACATCATCACCAGATCTCCTCCACTCCATTTAGACGTCTGCTTCTGATCCATAAGCTGCAGAGCATCGGGAACAGGGTGCTTACCTCTGGAAGCGGGCTGCCTCCAGGAGAATCCTGGATCAGGTTCTCTCTGCCGGGATCGGCTGCTTCCACCTGCAGAAACAGGAAACGGGTCGACCAGGAAACTGGAAAAAGCAGCTCAGGTTCAGCCAGAGCCAAAAGGATTCTGTGTTCAGCAGGTTCTGAACCAGAGAAGAAACAAGTTCTGAACTCAACAACTTGTGAACAGGAAACCCAAGAAACCATCGATCAACTCTGTCCAGATCTTCTCTGGTTGGCCATGAAGCTGCACCAAATATCTGAAGGTCCAGAACTCCACATTTAGTCCGGATTAACTTCTGACCTAAAACTAAAACTCTGGGCCAGGAAACGTCCATTCAGGCCAGCATCCAGGCCGGCTGAGAATCCAGTCTTGTGGGATGAAGATGATATTTCTTCTCACCCTGACCGAGGGTGAGAAGGTCCAACTGGGTGTGATCAGCCTATCAACATCAGTGATGTGCAGTGAGTCATCATATCATCATGAAAAAATAATATATAATGATAAAATCATTTATGTTGCTATTCTCACCCTGTGGTTTGTGATATATTTATTTTTCATGTAGCTTAACCAATTCTGACTATTTTTTCTTCAAAATCACTCAAGTTTCACATTTTCCCATTGAAATGCTCAGAAGTGCAGCAGGTGAGGCAGCAATGAGCCAAGCCTCACCTGGACTGATCAACGTCTCACTAACTGCACTGGCTGCCAGTCTATAGCAGCTCCTGTCTGAACGGCGCCAATATAACGGTTAAAAATATTGAATATATCAACTGATGTTCCATCATTTAGCTCATGTATATAATCTACAGTGTTATACGTCACCAACTGTGTAAAGTGTTTCATGCTGAGCAGCGATGAGAAACCAGAGAACAGACTGGAGGTGAGGCAGGCAGTTCTCTGGCCTCATGGCAGGGGGCGCTCATGATCCAACACTGAGACTCCACACTGCAGAGGAAGAGACAGCAACCATGGCTTCCTGGCTAGCCATGGAGCTAGCGAGGGACCTAGCCATGGAGATAGCCAGGAAGCTAGCAAGGGAGATAGCCATGGAGCTAGCGAGGGAGCTAGCCATGGAGCTAGCCAGGGAGATAGCGAGGGAGATAGCCATGGAGCTAGCGAGGGAGCTAGCCATGGAGCTAGCCAGGGAGATAGCCAGGAAGCTAGCCAGGAAGCTAGCGAGGGAGATAGCGAGGGAGCTAGCCATGGAGCTAGCCATACAGTAAAGTGCAGCGATATATTTATAGTTTTCTCCTCTTACTCCATCAATCACTTATTAATAAAATAAACATTAAGCCTAAAACCAAACTACTGCAACAGACTGAATGTTCTGCTCCTTGTGTGGGAAATATTTCAGTGTTTTTTTTGTGGGGTTGTCGTTAGTTGCTATGGCTGCGCCGATCCAGAGACGTGGTTTTGAGTTGGACTTTAACGGTTTTTCTTTTTGCTGTGGGGCACAAAATGAATAATATGGAGATGTCCAGGTTTGACTGAGTTAACAGAGTTATTCTCTGGCGGCTCTGGATGACAGAACAATTGTCTTTTTACCCTCCAGCTGTGAGGAGGGTTAGATGATCAACATCTATGAAAAGTCCAAACCTCCTATTGGAAAGTCTACAGATCTACGATCCAAAGGTTTGAAGAGAATTTTAGGACCTGGACATTCTAAAAGTACTGAAGGCCCGGCTCACCAGTCCAGAACCACACATTGAGAAATGAACTTTGGGATAAAACCCCCAGAGACGGTAGCAGGCTGGGATCCACCGAGCCTCTGAGAGAGGCTCGGTAGGACCTGGACCTGTAGAGCAGAAGGTCTGAACTTACCAGGGGTTTGCGCACTCCCAGGCGGACGGTACCAGGCGGTACCGACTTCAGCACCTCCACTGCCTCGGTCAGGGTGAGAAGGTCCAACTGGGTGTGATTAACCGATACCAGCTGGTCTCCAGGAAGCAGACCTCCATGACGCTCCGCGGACCCACCAGGAACCAGAGAGCGGATCACCATCACACAGCGACCAGGATCCAACGGGTCCTGCAGGGACGGACATGAGACGGGTTAAATCCAGAGGCCGCAGATTTTCACACCCTGAAGAACAGAAACACACCCGGCTGGACCTCAAGTCCGGTTGAAATGGTTTCCAGGAGACTGAAAACAACCAAAAACTTTTCAACTCCTTAAATTAAGAGAGCGGAAATTTAGAGACGAGCTGAGCACAAAAGTCCGGCTTCAGTCCACAGCAGAACCTGCCCGGTTCTGTTTGAACTGGGACAGAGTGTCAGAACTGGGTTGTGAATTAAACCGTCCAGGTGAGGAGAAGCTTTAGAGCTCACAGACCAGCAGGTAGGGGGCGACAGAGACCAGAACTCCAACAACAAGGGGAAAGGAAAAACTGTCGCTCCGAACCTCCAGTCGACAGAAAAACTTTGGTCCAACTAACATCATGTTCATAAATATCTCATGTTTGTTTCCTGATGGTCCCTGGGCTAATGGTGAAAACAGGATGGTCTAGTTAAAGTCCAAACCGAAACATGGATGTATCAGGCCTTCTGTGGTTCTGAATTTCAGCTGGAACAGAACATGTATCCATGGTGAAGAGTCATAGTCCAGTGGAACCAGACCAGGACCGAGTCGACCACCGGCGACTATCTCTCTCCTCCAGCAGAGGGCGCTCAGAGAGTTTCTACTGCAGAAGGGATCAGAAGAAGAAATGGTGAGCACTCCACACCAAAGCAAAGCTCCTCGTTGTCGATTCCACAATCGCAATCTGCCTGGTTCCTAAATTCCTGCTGCGATTCCCGAACCAGTGAACACAAACTACTTAGAGGTCTTCGGGTCGGGTTTCCGGGTCGGGCCTTCGGGTCAACCCGCCTTTTTTACCAGTTCCTCTCCAGATTTTTTCCAAATCTTCTGAGAGCGGCGCTGATGCTACGACCCGACCCGCCAGAACCTGCCTCCTCCCCACAGCAGAATTCAGAGGCCGGTTCAGTGAATCCCGACAGCGAGACGCGCCACGTTTTGGGCTGGCAGACGAAAGCCTGAGAGGAAGAGGAGAGGAAGAGGAGAGAAAGAAGAGAGGAAGAAGAGAGGAATCATAAAGGAAGAGGAGGGGAAGAAGAGAGGAAGCGAAGAGGAAGAGGAGAGGAAGCTCCTCCTGAACCTTCAGCCTCCAGAGTTTCACTAAACCTGACAAGTTTGGAAGGAAACTGAGCGAACAGCAGAGAGAAACCAGATCCAGTGATGAACCGTGACCGCATTGGGTGCCGTGGGGGCCCGGTGCCGTGGGGGCCCGGTGCCGTGGGGGCCCGGTGCCGTGGGGGCCCGGTGCCGTGGGGGCCCGGTGCCGTGGGCCCGGGGGCCCAGACTCACCTGGTAGTCCAGCAGGCTGAAGCCCAGGCCTCGGTCCGGCTCCTTCTGCAGCTCCACCAGGCCGACCTCTGGACTCCACAGCGCCAGCTCGCCTTCATCCTCCTCCTCTTCCTCCAGGCTGGAGTCCTCGCTCCTCGTCAGCTCCTCCACAGGAGAGACCTGCTGGTGACAGACAGACGGAACCAACTGGATCAGGCGGCGGATCCTGAACCAGACTGACTGCCTGAGGGCGGTACCTGCTCCTCCTCTTCCTCCTCTTCCTCTCTGCGGAGCATCGACGACAGCTTCATTTCCATCTGACAGGCAAAAACAAATCATCACCTCCTAGTTCTCTGGGTCCAGAAGGATCTGACCCGTACCTCCAGAACCAGAACCGGGAGATCTCTGGACCTGAGCTGCATCAGCTCCATCTGGATCCATACAACATGAGAAAAGTGAAAAACTCCTGGGAGGAACGAGGTCCGGACGCTCTCACCTCTTCGATGCTCCGATGTTCTGCTGCTGGTTCTGGTGGAACGGACGGTTCTGGTTCCGGTTCCGGGTCTGGGATCAGGAGTCGGCAGCAAACCAGCGTGAAGGGCGGGGGAACCTCTTTGAGGAAGGACACGGCTTCCCGCCGGGACTTCCCGTACAGCTGGACGCCGTTGACCTTCACAGAACAGAACCGTCAGCGGGTCGGTCGGGTCGAGTCGAGTCGGTCGGGTCAGCGGGTCGGTCGTCCATCGCTCAGGGTCTCAGAACTGGCCGGACTTTAAAGGTGTGACCCGGTTCTAAGCAGATGTGACTCGGGTCAGTACCGGTCCGGCGGTTAGATGAAGAACTGAAGCGTTCCCGTCCCAGAACCCTGTGGAACTCCGTCACCACCTGCCATCATTCCCAGTCGTGATGCATTCGGGCGTTGAAGAACAAACGGGGCGGCTTCAGAACCGTCAGTCGTTCATCCTGAAAGCGGGACGTTTTACCTCCAGCAGCTCATCCTCAGGCCTCAGCACGCCGTGTCTGTCCACGGGGCCCCCAGGGGCCACGGAGGAGACGTAGTGGTGGCCGTCGAAGGAGTCCAGCTCCACGCCCAGACGCAGGATGTGGATGGGCAGCAGCTGCAGAGAGACAGAGGGTCGGTCAGGAGGAGCTGCAGCTGCGTGACCAGCAGCCAGAATGCGACGCTGCACCTTGGAGGATTTCTGCAGCTCTGCGTCGTCTTGGATCACGGGATCCAGGTTCACCACCTGGCAGGAAACCAGAAACAGGAAGCACAGTCAAACATGCAGCGGAACCAGAGCAGCTGCTGGGTTCTGGACTCACCAGGACGAGGTACTGAGGTCCCAGAGCCGCCTTCCACTTCGCCCGCAGTTCTGCGTCAGATGCTGCAACACACAGAGCAGGCTGAGTCTGGACTCTGCTGCAGCCGCAGTTTCACTGAGGAACACTGGAAATGCATGGTGACCTTTGAACTGGACCAAAACATCTGACAGGTTCCCATTGTTCTCTGACAGAACCAGACGGAACCTCTGTGATGGAAACACACAAAGGAACCAGAACCAGACGGTCCACTGGGTTCCGAGGCGTTCCAGGTGAAAGCGCCGCAGTAAGCAGCAATGTTGACCCGTGTTAGTTTAATGACCGAGACGAGAGTAGGACGGATGAGCGCTCAGCAGCAGAGCGACAGTCTGTCTGGGGCTGGAAGCGGATTAGGAAGACGATGGAACGCCGGGACGTTCTCCTCAGGTCCAGGTGTTAGTCAGAGCCAGCTGATTACATTAGCATTGCTAACCGGCTTCCAGCCTGTGAATTAATGCGCCATGTTGGGCTGAATCAGAGCAGCAATACATCCCAGAGGGACGGGCGTCTGCCGCACTAATGAGAAAGAGAAAGTCAGAGTGGAGTTGGGGGCCAAGGTCTGCAAACAGCAAGTTGTTCTGTTAAATTCCATTTATTAAGCTGTTCTGGCTAAAAACAGAAATTATTAAGCCTGATTGCAAGCGTCTGTTACTCTGAGCTGTTCACTAGCGGAGCAGATTTATTCCTAAAAGATAGTTTTAAACAAAATAGGTTTATAGTTTATCCATTTAAAGCCAGAGAGCGGACCAACCACACCGCTGGCGCCGCTGCGCGTTGTGTTTTAAAAACTCAACAGACAGAAATGTTAGAGCTGCTAAAGCTGCATTAGCAGCTCTGAATTAAATCTGTTTGTTGCTCATTAATGCAGAGCAGCAGATTGAACTCACTCACCTCTGTTCAGTCGGGCAACGTTGGGATGTGTCACTTCCTGTTTCATCATCATGATGGATCCAGATGCTGACGAATAACCTTTGACCTCCAGGTTCTTCCTCTGAGACCCCCTGGTCGACGCCCGCTCCACTGAAACAGACGGGACAGAAAACCATGAAGGACTACCTGGTGCCTGGAACAACCTGGGACAACCTGGGATAACCTGGAACAACCTGGGATAACCTGGAACAACCTGGGACAACCTGTGATAACCTGGAACAACCTGGGATAACCTGGAACAACCTGGGACAACCTGGGACAACCTGTGATAACCTGGAACAACCTGGGACAACCTGTGATAACCTGGAACAACCTGGGACAACCTGGGATAACCTGGAACAACCTGGGATAACCTGGAACAACCTGGGACAACCTGGGACAACCTGGGATAACCTGGGATAACCTGGAACAACCTGGGATAACCTGGAACAACCTGGGACAACCTGTGATAACCTGGAACAACCTGGGACAACCTGTGATAACCTGGAACAAACTGGGACAACCTGGGATAACCTGGAACAACCTGGGACAACCTGGAACAACCTGGGAGAACCTGGGACAACCTGGAACAACATGGGACAACCTGGAACAACCTGGGACAACCTGTGATAACCTGGAACAACCTGGGACAACCTGGATAACCTGGAACAACCTGGGACAACCTGGGAGAACCTGGGACAACCTGGAACAACCTGGGAGAACCTGGGACAACTTGGGATAACCTGGAACAACCTGGACCAACCTGGGACAACCTAGACCAACCTGGGACAACCTGGAACAACCTGGGAGAACCTGGAACAACCTGGGAGAACCTGGGACAACCTGGTACAAGCTGGGACAACCTGGAACAACCTGGGACAACCTGGAACAACCTGGAACAACCTGGTACAAGCTGGGACAACCTGGAACAACCTGTGATAACCTGGAACAACCTGGGACAACTTGGAACAACCTGGGACTACCTGGGAGAACCTGGAACAACCTGGGACAACCTGGGATAACCTGGGACAACCTGGAACAACCTGGGAGAACCTGGGACAACCTGGAACAACCTAGGAGAACCTGGGACAACTTGGGATAACCTGGAACAACCTGGGACAACCTGGGACAACCTAGACCAACCTGGGACAACCTGGAACAACCTGGGAGAACCTGGAACAACCTGGGACAACCTGGAACAACCTGGGACAACCCGGGACAACCTGATATAACCTGGAACAACCTGGACCAACCTGGGACAACCTAGACCAACCTGGGACAACCTGGAACAACCTGGAGCAACCTGGAACAACCTGGGACAACCTGATATAACCTGGACAACCTGGGACAACCTGGGAGAACCTGGAACAACCTGGGACAACCTGTGATAACCTGGAACAACCTGGGATAACCTGGAACAACCTGGGACAACCTGGGATAACCTGGAACAACCTGGGACAACCTGTGATAACCTGGAACAACCTGGGACAACCTGGGATAACCTGGAACAACCTGGGACAACCTGGAACAACCTGGGAGAACCTGGAACAACATGGGACAACCTGGAACAACCTGGGACAACCTGTGATAACCTGGAACAACCTGGGACAACCTGGGATAACCTGGAACAACCTGGGACAACCTGGGAGAACCTGGGACAACCTGGGAGAACCTGGGACAACTTGGGATAACCTGGAACAACCTGGACCAACCTGGGACAACCTAGACCAACCTGGGACAACCTGGAACAACCTGGGAGAACCTGGGACAACTTGGGACAACCTGGGATAACCTGGAACAACCTGGGACAACCTGGGATAACCTGGAACAACCTGGGACAACCTGGGATAACCTGGAACAACCTGGGACAACCTGGAACAACCTGGGAGAACCTGGGACAACCTGGAACAACATGGGACAACCTGGAACAACCTGGGACAACCTGTGATAACCTGGAACAACCTGGGACAACCTGGGATAACCTGGAACAACCTGGGACAACCTGGGAGAACCTGGGAGAACCTGGGAGAACCTGGGACAACTTGGGATAACCTGGAACAACCTGGACCAACCTGGACCAACCTGGGACAACCTAGACCAACCTGGGACAACCTGGAACAACCTGGGAGAACCTGGAACAACCTGGGAGAACCTGGGACAACCTGGTACAAGCTGGGACAACCTGGAACAACCTGGGAGAACCTGGAACAACCTGGGACAACTTGGAACAACCTGGGACAACCTGGGACAACTTGGGAGAACCTGGAACAACCTGGGACAACTTGGGATAACCTGGAACAACCTGGACCAACGTGGGACAACCTGGAACAACCTGGGAGAACCTGGAACAACCTGGGACAACCTGGAACAACCTGGGACAACCCGGGACAACCTGATATAACCTGGAACAACCTGGACCAACCTGGGACAACCTAGACCAACCTGGGACAACCTGGAGCAACCTGGAACAACCTGGGACAACCTGATATAACCTGGGAGAACCTGGAACAACCTGGGACAACCTGGAACAACCTGGGATAACCTGGAACAACCTGGACCAACCTGGGACAACCTGGAGCAACCTGGAACAACCTGGGACAACCTGATATAACCTGGGACAACCTGGAACCTTTTCCATCAGTTGGTTCCAACCAGAAAACCAAAACTGCTAGAACCTCAGAACCGTCCAGGTCACATGACCAGACCAGCTGTCCCTCTCCATCCTCCGTGTCCCATCAGGCTGACAAACGCGTTTTTGTCTTCCAGAACTTTCTGCTGTCGCCCATTTATTGGTTCCTAAGTTGGACCTGAACCCTCTCTGACCTCTGACCTCTGACCAGCGAAGGCGCTGAATCCAGAAGCGGCAGAACGCTGCAGCTCTGAACACAGCAGGACATAACAGCTCTTCCTCGCTCCGGTCCGGTCGGCGCCGACCAGAACCAACGACCCGAAACCCAACAGATTAATCTCTGCAGACACTGTAGGAGGAAGAGCTGCATATTCTGCAGATTACAACCAGGCCCGTCAGAACCAGAACCGACCACAGAGACCACCAGAACCAGAACCGACTGCACCGGTTCAGCTGTCAGTCAGATGACCAGTTGGAGGTGGTACTTCCTGGAACGCCCTCCTACCTTTATCCAGGGACCTTTCCGGGCCTTGGGCTTTCTTCCGGACCAGAGTCAGAACCACAGTCTGACCCGTCTGCTTCATCACCTCCAGAACCTTCTGGTTGGTCATCCCTTGGAGACTGACGTCGTTCAGCTGATGGAGAGGGAAACCTGATGGGTCAGAGGTTCCGATCCCAGAGAACCATCCCCACCAGAATCCGTCCTAAACAGAACCGGTCAGGGACTCACAGCGAGGAGGCGATCATGGACCCGGATGTTTCCGCTCTGGTCCGCGGCGCTGCCAGGAACCACGTGTTTCACAAACACACCCACCGCATCTGAGAACAGGAAGATGACATCAGAGCGCTTCATGTTCACGTCTGGACCCGGGACCGGTCCAGAACCGACCGCCCACCCGGTCCAGAACCGACCGCCCACCCGGTCCAGAACCGACCGCCCACCCGGTCCAGAACCGACCGCCCACCCGGTCCAGAACCGACCGCCCACCCGGTCCAGAACCGACCGCCCACCTTGGCTGGTCATTGGATTGAAGCCGACGATGGAGATGCCGAGGCTCTGGCCGTCCTTCTTGGTGAGGGGAACTTCATGGATCTCGTATCCCTCCAGGTTGGGCTGAAACCAGAACCAGAACCAGAACCGAGTACAACGGTGAGACGCTATCACGTCGTCATGGCAACCAGTTCAACTGAAGGCTCACCATCTTGCTGGGCGGCGGCGGCGGCGGGGCCACAGGTGAACCTGGAGGTAAGGATGCAACGGGGGCGGAGTCAGGAAGTGGAGGAGGCACATTAACGAAAGGGGCGGAGTTAGGAGGCGCGGCGGGCGCGGCCGGCGCCTGTCCTTGAGGGTCCCTGGCGATCAGCATGGTCACATGACCGCCGCAGGCTTGCAGAACCTTGACAACCTGGTCGCTGGTGAGGCCGCCGGTGGGCGTCGACCCGATGCGGAGGATGTGGTCACCTGTGCGAAGGCGCCCATCCTGATTGGACAATGGGAGAGAACCCAATCGGCTTGTTGTTTAGGTTGGACCTCAGGAAGAGGAAGCGGACTCACCCTGTCGGCGACGCCGTCCGGGATCAGCGTTCGGACGACCACTCCGCTCGTCTTCCCGCCAACGATCCCAAAGCCCAAACCGGATCCGTCGTTGGAGAGCTCGATCTCCTCCACGTGACCCCAGAGGTCCTGCAGGAAAGGATCCGGATCAGAACCAGAACTCTGCAGCTCCAGGTTTCAAAAACCCAAAACCTCTAATCTGGAGGGATTGCAGACGGTACCAGGCAGTAAATAATCAGGAAATATGGATAATCTGGCTGATGACTCATCACTGTTCTTGAGATCTGATTGGCTGCTGGCTGCACCAGAGCAGCAACACACACACACACACACACACACACACACACACACACACACACACACACACACACACACAGCGGGCCGCTGTTCCGGTTCTGATTACAGCCCCGACCCGATTCAGCAGCTCTGCCTCGCAGTAACAATCCTTCCCTTCATTCCAGAACCTCAGGGAGGAGCCGACGCTCTGCTTCGCGACACAAGGTCACAGTTTTCCCAGGAACTGATCCGTTACCAACCGGTACCGACCCGGCGGAACCAGCACCTGTTTTCTGGCTCAGAACTCCAGATAGCAAGGACCATCACCCTCCACTGCCGCGCTAAATGCTGACAACAGCAGGTGGCGCTGTTAGGGAGAAGAGTCATGACCTTTGACTTTTAGCCGCAGCTGAGAAGGAGATCCGCATGATCCAGATGATTAAGACCGGCAGTTGTGAACCGCTCCCTGCTGAGGGGAATCAGAACCAGAATCTGGACCTGTGAAGATGTGGGTCCACCTCCACAGAAGCCAGCAGGTTCTCCGGGTCCAGACCGACCCAGTCCATCCTCGGGGAGCAGAACCGAGAGCTGCAGCTCTCATGCGAGTCTTCTTCTGGAGTTCTGCCCGTTGGAGCCGGGCCAGGTTCTGCATACCGGGCCCCCGACCCGCCTGCTGCTCCATTCATGTCCCGCTCAGATTGAGGTCATGTTTTCTGGAACCGCGAACAGAACCGGGCCGGACACCGTGATCCGACCCAGGACTGGGCGAGAAAGCTGGATCACCATGGCAACTTGGAGGACATGGCGTCTCTGCCCGAAATGCTGACCCTTGACCCCTCCATGCTGCTGGTCACAGAGCTGGTTTTGTCTCTGGAGAACATACAGATGTTTCCAGAGACAAAACTGGGGGGTTTGGGGGCACCCCCACTTGCCCCCAAGTCCCCAGTTGCCCCCAGTTGCCCCCAAGTCCCCAGTTGCCCCCCAAGTCCCCAGTTGCCCCCAGTTGCCCACAAGTCCCCAGTTGCCCACAAGTCCCAGTTGCCCCCAAGTCCCCAGTTGCCCCCAGTTGCCCCCAAGTCCCCAGTTGCCCCCCAAGTCCCCAGTTGCCCCCAAGTCCCCAGTTGCCCCCAGTTGCCCACAAGTCCCCAGTTGCCCCCAAGTCCCCAGTTGCCCCCAGTTGCCCCCAAGTCCCCAGTTGCCCCCAGTTGCCCCCAAGCCCCCAGTTGCCCCCAGTTGCCCCCAAGTCCCCAGTTGCCCACAAGTCCCCAGTTGCCCACAAGTCCCCAGTTGCCCCCCAAGTCCCCAGTTGCCCCACAAATGTGGCCTTAAAGTGACGAGTCCATTCCACTGACCGTGCCGACCAGTCCTTCAGCCGGGCCTCCTGGTGCGGCCCGGTCCCGGGCCACCACCAGCTCCACGGTCTCGCCCGGTTGCTGCAGCAAGGTCAGGACCGCCTGGTGGTTCCGGCCCGGTTCCAGAGGACTGCCGTTGATCACCAGGATCTGGTCCTGCTCCTGAAGACGCCCATCCCTGTAACAGAACCCGGGTCAGAATCAAACAGAACCGCTCCGTGGGTGTGGCTGTGCCTCACCGGTCGGCGATTCCTCCCGGCTGGATGTGTTTGACAAACACGCCGTGGCCGGCGCCTCCTGCCGGGTTCAGCCCGACCACGCTGAACCCCAGGCCCCCTGAAGCGGGCCGGGTCAGAACGACGGGCTCGATCCGGCGGCCCTGCGAATAAAGTCGGCTCAGTCCCACGGCACACGTCGCCGTGACGATGACAACGCCACCGAGGGTGCGCCTACCTTCGCCACTTCCTGGATCCACTGCTGCAGGCGCTCTGTCAGGGGCGGAGCCTGAAGGGAGAGAGGCGCCGAGCCATTGGTCAGGACGGAGGAGGGGGCGGCGCTCATAATCAGCTGACCGCGACTGGAGAAACTGAAGTCACTGCGAGCGTCTGGAGGCAAGCTGTGGAGCTGGGGGGCAGGAGGAGGAAAGTGGCTGTCAGGTTTCATTAAATACTGATTTTCATCTTTTTCTGATCTGATGGAACCTGGTCAGTCTGTTGGTTGGATGGATGGACAGTTGGATGTTTCCTGAGGCGTTCAGGGCCCCTGTTCAGGACAAGGTGGGGTTAGAAACAAGGTGTCAGGGGTGCGGGGGCAGATTGAGTGGGGGTAGAAGCAGAGGAAGGTTTAGAAGCGGAGCATCGATTTCCCCGCGGCGCTGCAGGTCCAGCAGCTGATGTATGAACGACCTCTCCTCTCTCGTTGTGAGGCGTATCAGTCTGTGGCTGATTGGGGCCGGGCTGACGGCGCAGGACTCAGCCGAGGCCGGGCCGTTACTCAGTCGGGACATTACTGGCCGTGCCTCCGTCGCCACCGTGACCTTCGCAGCACTTAGAGTATGAAGGCGCTTGCTGCGGCAGCCATTACCTTAATTTGGCTGCAGGTTGTTTATTGTGAAGGCGGCGCTGCGGTGGAATACAGAGCAGGGCCGATCACATGACCTGGGGGCGGGGCTACACCTGCCACAGCCCAGGAGGAGGTCCTGATCCAACTGGAAACACACCAGAGTCAGACCAGCAGAACCAGCAAACCCGTCTGGTGAGATCAGAACCAAAATCCAAATGGAAAACGGCTGGAAAATAAAAGCCCGACAGAAGCAGGAAAACTCCAGGAACTGGAAGTTCCTACTCCTGAAGTAATCATGGCGACCTTTGACCCCTTGTTAACTTGAGGGGGGCAGCGATTACTCAAACAGGTCATCCAATCAGAGATCCCTCTGAGCCAATCAGATTGCAGCAGGGTTACTTTAAGGATTTTAGGAAGTGAAAGCATAAAGCTCACGTCTGATTGGCCGAGCCAGCAAGAAGTCAAATCCTCACAGGCCCCGCCCTTTTTCTCCAGGTGGTGGGCGGGGCTTAGCTTTAGACCAGCCGGGATGGAGGTCCAAAATAATTACTGTGGTGCCTGAAGGCCACATGACCACTGGGTCCAAAGCCCAGAAGCCAGTGGGCGGAGCTTCAACTGATCTAGTGCTTCCTGATTGGTCTGAAGTGGAACAAGCAGAGCGGCTCGGCCAATCAGAGGCTCAGGATGTGAGTAAACATAAACAGAACCTGGTTCTGTTCCAGGTTCTGTTCTCACCTGCTGCTGCAGCTGGCGGACGGAGTGCTGCAATGTCAGGACACGGCCGAACAGCGGGCTCTGCAGCGCCACCTTCAGGCTGCCCAGGGTGGCGCTCAGGCTCCACTCCTCCCTCTGGACCAGCCGGTTCTGGAGCCGGTCCAGAGCAGCCAGAACCTGCTGGCGCTCCGCAGACGACACTGAAACAGAGAGAGCGGCAGGACTCGACAGAACCGATGCGCTGACATGAGAACCAGAATCAGAACCAGAACCGGGACTCACCTACCGGGACGTTGTCCAACATGGCCGTCCTGGATCCGGGCGGCACTCAGAGTCACCGGGCCGACCAGAACCTGGAGCCACAAGGAGGAATCAGGGTCAGATCTATAAACCAGGTCAGAATCAGAACCAGACTGAACAACCAACTGCTTACATGCGCATGCGCACTGTGCGAGTTTCTGCGTTAAAGTGGTAAATCTGCAGGTAAGAGTCCAAACTGAACCGAACCGAGCTGGGTTTACCTGTAAGACTGATGACCCAGTTCACAGAAAAGAACTTCACAGAGCCGGACCGGGTCACGCACCTGAGCTCACCTGGGAGAAACCCGGAAGTGAGAGAGCGCGGTTCCGATGGGCGCGGTTCGGCAGTTTAATGAGCTAAAGCCAGAACCGTCCAGGTTCTGGAAGCACCGGAACGGTTTCGAGAGGTCCAGCTGGACTTCCTGCAGGTGAGGCAGGTGAGCCAAACTTTCCTGACAGGTGAGAGGAAACCTGCTGGAACTGGTTTAAACAGCCGGACCTGAACGCAGCTTTGGTCAGCTGGAGAACCACGAGGTTCTGTTCAGCCGAACCCACCCACTCACTCAGAACCGACTAACCTAAACTGATCCAGTCCGCCCGAAGCTAAACTGCTAACTCAGCTGGGCTGTCCGGACCAGAACCAGAACTCACCTTTTGGTCTTCCGACCGAACCGAACCTCCTTCAGCCGCTGAGTCTGCACTTGGTCGCAGAACCATCCGGAACTGGCACAGGACTCACTTCAACTGGACCCAGTTCGGCACCAGAGTCCCTGTGATGATGCCTTTAGGTGCCGCCGGAAATAACAAAGCTGCTGCGGAGACGGAACGGTCAGAGGGTTCGGTTCGGTCTATGCTTGAGACCGTTCCGAACCGAACCGAACAGAGGGTCCGGTTCGGTAACCCCTGCATAATTAACTACGCTACACTGGTTCTACACCGACTGCTTCCTGTTCGTGTCTGAGTTCAATAAGTTTGTTTTAAACAGAGTT